CGTTGGATGATTGCTGCTGATGCCCTCTTTCATATATTCTTGTTCTTCCGTAAGACATAGTGCTAGGACGCTGCCCGTCGTCAGAACTTGGATAATCTTCCGATCCGCTGTATTCTGATCTACTTTGTTGGGATGATAACCCCCAAAACATTGTCGAGACTGTTAACGAAAAACGTCCGCGCGGCTCGATTGAGTTTGAAGACACCGAAACAGTATGTGGTAATCGAATGGATCTGCTCTTGGGGGGATATCTGATAAAGAAATTATGGTTAGGTACCCACTGGGGGGGGGCGCGCGTGGGGGATTGTCCTTCCGATTTGGCGGCGCGTTTCGAGCATCGGCGGGCAACGTGTCAGACGCGGTCAGAATGGGCGCGCTCGGCGCCGTGGGTGGCGTCATCTAAGGCGCCAGCGGTCCACGGCGGATCAAGACGTGGATCAATTCCTCACGTCTTTTTATATCCGCCGCTGTAACATTATGCCCGCTGTAATGCCACCGCCACCGCGCGAGTTACACGCCCACGTGTCGTGTAATTGAATTCTGTCTGCGACGATGTGGACTTGTGGACTTGCTTACGGTATAGTACACGTCAAAGCGACAAACTGCACCTGCTGACCGTCCTGAGCCGGTCCTGAGCCGGTCCTGAGATCAACGCTGCGTCACCGACTCGCCTGAATTAGATCAGCCGCGGCGGCATCCTCGTGAGCCAGTTCTGTGCGCGTGCAACGTGCACACCTGGTCATTACTCGCTCTCACACGTGTCCAGTGTCATTACGCGTACGTGTACACCTGCACCCGTAGGGACGGCGGAGGGTACCCTGGTATTGCCCCTTAGAGCATCCCCACCAGTGAGGCTAAAGTTGTAAAAAAACGAATTTTTACAACTTTAATATTTTACACCCCTCTTCACTACTCCCACCGTTTCGAAAAGATGCATTATTTTTTACATCGAGATAAATTCGGGTTGTAAAAATCGAGAATATAGCACCAAAATCTAGAACTATGCATTTGAGGTGGCGAACGCTGATTGGTTCAAATTCCATTTTCCCGCGAAGTCAAAGTTGGTTGAAGGGGTCTTGAAGTTGAGCCTCTCTCTCCAGTGGAGAGGAGAGTCTCCACCAACACTCCTCCCCATCCTGTCCATATCTGCACCAAACGTAAGTTTGTCTGGCAGCCACCCTACGTCTTTCGAAGGGACAGCCGTCACTAGCAGTATGGGCGAACTCGAATCAAACGCAATCCCCGACACAGCCGCAGCCGCTTCTTGTGAACCCCGTCTCTTTCCTGTCCCTGTCCCTTTAACCACCCCCACACAAACTTCGATCGCCGACGCAATCCCAGGCGTTCCTATTGCACCTCCTCTCTTTCCTGTTTCCGCCCCTGTCCTCACACCCACGCATACTTCGATCCCTTCGATATCGTCAGATGCCATCTCAAATCCAGCACCTGGTCGGTCTCGTGGTTCTAACTATTCTACACAGGACGATCTCGTGCTAGCTCGAGCTTGGGTGCGTGTATCCCAGGATCCCATCATTGGGAGTGAGCAAAAGTCCCAGGCATTTTACGAACGGATTGAGGAAGTTTATAACCGCCTCCGTAGCCCTGCTTCTGAACAAAGAACTCCAGATTCCCTTAAGGCACGTTGCAAGCTTTTGCATAAGTCTTGCATGAAGTTTAATGGCTCTGTGCGCTGTGTCTACATGGCAAAACCCACAGGTGTGTCGGACGTCGATATAGAAAGGATGGCTACGGGAATTTATAATGGCGTAGCAATGTCTTCTGCCACTGACGAGTGTGTTCGGGTATTCAAATTTTTACAAGTATGGCGATTGCTTAAAGATCATCCAAAGTACAGTATGTCAACTTCGAGTGGAAACAGTAACCAGAGTACAGTGGGTGGAGGTCGAGATGGTGGTCTTTGTACAGAAGATGTAGCGCAGAAGGCTGACACGGACGACGAGGAGAGCAGCCGGCAGGTAGTAAAGAGTGGCATGCAACGCCCAATCGGACGAAAAAGGGCCAAACAAATGGCAAAAATGGAGGATGCACGGCACAAAAAGCTGAAAATTGCAGCAGAAGCTGTTTCCCTACAACGAGCTCGCAATGAAGCCCTGGAGCGGCACAACGAATTGCTGCTATTTTCAAGCGCTCCGCAGGAATGCAACCGGGCAGAGACGATAGAGTACTACAATTTGCTCCGTACGGAAGCTTTACAGAAAATTCGGTCTCGTTTGACCGATACCGGTGAATCATCGGAAAGCAGAATGCCTACTGCAACGCCACATTCTGGTAATGATAGCACAGTGTTCGATTTGGTCAGTTCCCTGGGCAATGATACAGGTTCCAATGGTACGACAAACCTCTAATATTCAAGCTCGTGGCTGCCTGCATGATCCCACAGGTGGTCCATGACGAGCTTTTTTGTGTTCAAGTACTCGACAGCATTACTGGTAAAAGCACTTGCGGCGCAAAGTGCCTCAATACTATCGGGAGCTGCAGCTGTCACTACAGTACTATCACTTGAGCTCCCCCACATTGGTAAATTTAGATCGCCCCCTAGATCGAATGCGTCATTGTCTGTGTCACAGTGCACAACCCTGTCCTCAACACACATGTTATGCAATATGATGCAAGACTTCATTACCTTGTGCATAAAGTCGATATTCCAGAAGCGGCCTGGTCTTGCAATAACATGCCACTTTGCCTGGAGAACCCCGAATGCGCGCTCCACATCTTTTCGCTCTGACTCTTGTCTGTTTGAGAACAGTTTTTCTTTAGGAGTACCTGGCTCAGCAATAGAGTGGACAAAGCAGGGCCATTTCGGATAAATGCCGTCTACGAGCCAATAAGGGATATTTCGCTCTTGTCCATTTATGATATATTGCAATGGAGGTGGATATGTCCCGCTTGCGATTTTGCTCAGCAACGTGGAATTGTTGAGCACATTTATGTCGTTTGATGCACCAGGCATTCCGAAAAAACAGTGCCAGATCCACAGAGTGTCATCACAAATGGCCTCCAGAGTGATAGTCGGTTTACCTTCTTTCCCTTCAAATTGACCATGCCACCCTGTAGGAAAGTTTTTCCAGTGCCATTTGCAGCAATCTAGACTGCCTAGTTTACCCGGAAACCCTCTATCAGAGGATCGCGACAGCAGCAATCTCAAATCTGATGCTGTGGGACTGCGAAGGTACGTTTCCTCATAGTTTCGCAGCAAAAGTTCCACAAACTTGCGCAAGCAAATGTCTACTGTTGACGAAGCTATTCTTAAATATTCGTCCAATGCATCACTAGCTCCGCCATATGCCATAACCCTGATAGCAGCTGTCGCTTTCTGTAGTCCACTTAGACCCAGTTTACCTGTACAGTCTTTCTGCTGAGTAAAAAAGCGGTCCGATTGGAGTACATCGAAAATTTCCATGAAGCGCTGTTTTGTTATTCGGAAACGCCTCTGAAACATAGATCCATTATAGGTTGGAGTTTCACTGAAGTAGTCTTGGAACAGCAGTTGCGCACCTCGCTCTCGATTGCGCTCGACATTTGGCTTTTTCCCCGGATAAGAGCCTTTGTGTTTTGGGGGCTTACTGTCGCTGTCCGAGGACAAAACATCCTCAACAATATCGAGAATGTCGTCCTCCACGAAGTCAGAGATGCCAATGGTACTCCGTGGAGGTTGTGAAGGCGTTTGCATCGGACTTCAGTGAGTAGGAGCATGCACTTCACAAGTAGGAGGGTGCGGTTTTTTGCCGGTGGGGTTGACCTGCAGGTCAATGCAGTTCTCGGCAAGGTCTTAAAAAAGCAAAGGTGTATAATAGCGAGAGGCCAATCAAGGCTCGCCAAGTTTCTAAAATATTTAGCATTTTACACTCGCCGGTGGGGATGCTCTTAAGGGCAGAAGGGGGATAGAAAGATAAAGGGAGGGAGGGGGTAAGGGAAAACTTGACAACTTCACATCCAGCACGTAGCTGCGATGCGATACATGATATGGTCCAGCGATGCATCTGCTACCCTCGCCCTATCATGTCCCACTCAAATGAGAGCCTATAAAGCCCGTTTGTCCTGAAAATTGGAAAAATAAAACGACATACTGAAACCCACAATTTCCCGCTTGGAATCCAATCTCCACAAACGCCTTTGCTTCACCGCACCCACACCATCACACTCATTGCCACCCCCTTGATTCCCTCCCACTCTCGCGCACACCTCCGCCATGAACTCACCCCGAGACCACAAACCAACCGCGCCGCCCGCACCCACTCTACAGCACGCCCTCCTCGTCATCCCGGTGCCAGAATCCGCCGCCATCGAAGACATCCTCGTCACGCATTTCCACATGAGCCCGCAAGGAATCATTCCCTTTTCCAACCGCTACTACGTCGCCAAAGTCCCCGTTTCTATCTACCCGTTCCCGCGCGCCCTCCCGCAACCGCCCTTCCGCCCCGTGGACGAATGCGTGCGCGCCAGCCCGGCCGTCGTCGTCATCGCCGACGCCGCCTCCGACGACAACATCGCTGAGAGCAAGCGCATATGGCACCGCATCGCCCGTCATTGCTGCCACTCCGCCGTCAAGCTTCTCTTCGTCCGCGCACACGACTTCTCGGAACACCGCCGCGCCGCATTGGTCGCCTGGGCAGTCCCGCTCGGCGTGCACGTCATTTCTACCGCCGCGCCCGAGGAGGACGGCCTCCCGGTCGCCCACCACGTCGAGCGCGCTTTGGAATGCGCAGAGTGGCCGCTCCTCACACTACACACCCCCTGTCGTGGTCGTGGAGAGCCAAACGAGCGAAGACTCCCCATCCATACCCATATTCAATCCAATCCTCCAGCTTTGCAACAACCTGACCTTCTCAAACCTACCAGTGTCCGCCGAGCCTTGGACGCCGCCGATGTATCGAGGTTGGAAGCGCACTTGTTGCTTGCTGATCTCACTGATTCCGATTCCTCTTCTTGACCTCACCATCCCTCTTCACCTTCACCGACCTTTGCTCTTTGCAACACCTCCCTCATGCCTTTTGCAAGCTTACCAGCCGCAACTGAGGCTCTGTCTTCTTCGAAGCAACCATACGACGCTCGCAGATACCCAGCCATGCCAAATGCGAATCCCGGCACGAGCAGCACCCCATGCTTGCGCGCGAGGAAGTCCACGGCTTCCATGTCGTCCCGTTCCCCGTCTTGAGCGTTCCCCAAAGTCTTCCGGTAAGGAAGGAAAAGGTAGAAGGCGCTGTCCGGGATCACAAAGTCGCCTTCGAAAGGCGTATTTTCGTAGACCGGCTTGAGGAATGCAATGAATGTTTTGCGGACCTTGCCAAGCAAAGTGATGTTGCAAGGGAGGGCGGTTGTTTCATGCAAGGGGTTTGTGAGCAGCGATTCGTACGCGACGTGCTCACTGAAGCGGCACGCATGGGTGGGTATCGTGTCCTGCGCTTTCCGCATGTCTGCGGACAAGCGCTTCGGGTACAGCACGGCGCCGATACGCCAGCCGGCGAGCCCGTAGGCCTTTGACGCTGTGAAGATGCGGACGACGTTGTCCACATTGGTTGGCGAGAAGGCTATCCTTGATTCGCCTTGGTGCACAAACTCTCGATACGCTTCGTCGATTATGAGCCAGATGCCGGAGCGCGAGCAAAGGTCTCTCATGCCCTCCATGAGAGCTTTGGGGAATACTTTTCCGGAAGGGTTGCCAGGGTTGACCACGACAAGAGCAGTTGTTCGCGGTGTGATTCGTTGTGCTATATCGGCTAGCTTGGGCTGCAACGTTTCTCTTTCAATAGGTACCAGGACTGGGATAACACCAGTCATAACCAGAGCGTTAAAGTGAGAAAAGTAGTAGGGCAGGATGAGTAGCACTTGATCACGCGCGTCACATGTTGCGAGAATGACATTGACGAATGCCTGGTTGGCGCCTGCGGTGATCATGAGCTCTTGGCGAGGTATGACATGTTGTTCACTCTGCAGCAAGTGTTCAGAGACTCTTCCATCAGTGGCATGTGGAGAGGAGCAGAGGGCGTCGTAGCCCCTTATGACTGTGTTTGCCCAGAGCATTCGCAGGCGTGGGGAACCTAGGACATCGGCGTATTTTGAGAGATGGCGACTTTGGTGGGGGTCGTCGAGCAGGGCGATCATTTTCGCGCGCACTTGACTGGACATGCCAAAGTAGGTGGCGCCCGGGGCAAGGTTGAAGTGGACTTGATGGGCATACTTGGCGATGACATCGTCAATGACTGGAGATGTGGTTTCTCGGATGCGACGAGAAGGGTCTCGCGGGGGCACACGCGGGGGCGTCATTCGCGGATGTTTGGAGGAGCGGGGTGGTGTGCTCTGAGCACAGCTGCGGTTGTGGGCGAGCGCGAGTGTGGGGTAGTACAGTAGGTTTTTTTTTGTTATCGGGAGGTGGGAGCTCGAAAGCGAGAGGAGGCGAGATCGCGGGCGTGTTGGATCAGGGAACGGGGACGGGTGAGAGTCCAATCAGAAGGGGGCGCATGTTGATGTGGAGCGGCAGGGCGGTGAAGGTGTTTCGGCGACAGCGGCGGTGGCACGCTGCGGTGGCATGGCGAACACAAGCGAGCGACAGGAGTTCGCGGAGGGGCGGCGACGGGGATTAAAACAATGCGGGTGCGTGCCGTGCGTTCCATAGGGAAAAGGAGTAAATTAGGTGTAGGTACCGTAGGTGGTAGGTACGAGGGGCGCGTACGGTAGGTCGGTGATCCTCTCCCTTCGCAACCTCTTTTACGAAAATGGAGTATCGATAGATGAGAGGTATTGTGCGTTTTTGGAAGCGGTTGGAGGTGGACTGTATCTGTCAAGGTGCCAAGGACATTACGTGGTGCGGGCAACAGCTTGGGCGGTGAGGTTTGCTACTGTACCCTGTGGCAAGAGAGAGGAGTCTCTCTCTCCCTCCCTCTCTCTCTGGCAACCTGCGGTACACTTTACATTGCCGTGCGGCAGCGAGAGGTTGCGCTGCGTCGGCAGAGGCAACCGGTTTTAAACGAAAAACCGGGGCGCGGCGTTGCCGTGGTCATAAAACAAGCGTGTGCAGGACGGTGGGATGAAAGCTGGTCTCCATGTACTCATGTAGTGGGACACAACAAGCAAGCTGCAGGGCGGGGGAGGTCATGTTTGCGACATCGGAGCATCGGGCTGTCTGTCCGCGTGTGCGTCGACAAAGGCGGGGATACGCTCCAGATGGCGCACAACCCTGACCACGGTCGGGAAGCTCTCCATGTCAACGGCGACCCTCTCCGCGTTGTACACCTGCGGGACGAGGAGCAAGTCCGCGAAGGAGACATCATCGCCGACGCAGCATTCGCCCGCAGAGTCCTTCAGGAGGGCTTCGACGACGCGCAAGCCCTCCTCGATCCAGTGCCTAGCGAAGGCGAGTCTCTCCTCGTCGCCCCATCGGCCCTTGACATACTCGAGGACGGCGAGGTTCTGCAGGGGCTGCGTGCCGGCGTTGACGGCCTCGACTATCGCGCGGACGTGCGCGCGCTCGGCGGGCACGCGCGGCAGCAGCGGCGGGGCCGGGCGCGTCTCCTCGAGGTACTCGAGGATGGCGACGGACTGACGCAGCGTGACGCCGTCGATGCGCAGCACGGGGACCTGGGCGGCCGGGTTGAGCGCGCGGAACGGGGCGGCGTGCTGCGCGCCATGCGCCAGCGGCACGGCCTCGTACGAGTACGGCACGCCCTTGAGCCGCAGCGCCAGGCGCACGCGCCAGGAGCACGAGGAGCGCCAGTACGAGTGCAGCGTGGCCGCGGGCGCGGCGTCGGACATGGCGAGGGAAGGCGCGGGGGTGCGCGGCGCGAGCGGGCGGGGGCGTAAGGGAGGGGCGTTTGGTGGGGCGCGCGACAGCGGGCGCGAGGGAGAGGCGTAAGGGAGGGCTCGCTCAGCGGCTCCAGTGTTGATAGGATGGCGTGTCTGGAGCGGTCGGTACTGTAACGATTATACGGCAGGGGTAGATGTATGTCCCGAGAGTGGAAGATGTTGCAACGTGTCCGCGGTAGAGGGCGGCAAAGTCGGGGGGGGGTTTTCCCGGGGGCTTTTTGGGGGGGCGCAAGGCGCGATGGGTGGCGCGGGTGGATGGCGCTCCTGCGCTGTAAAGATAGTGGAGGGGGGCG